TGTGTTCTCTCCCCATCTGTGCATGATCGTCTTCCGCTGCTTATTTTCACCTGTGTGCAGTTTGGACTCTGTCTCCTCTCTCCCCTTCTCTTATGAATGTATGGGCATGTGTGAGATTGTCAGTGTGCGAGTGGCGATAAAATTCGACAGACAACCAAGTTCAAAACAGTTGGTATCGGAGCGGGATTGGATTTGAAGCACTGAGGGTTCAGCGCATTGGGGCATCTTCTTCATCTGGCGATCTACTGGCGAGAGTTTCATGGCAATTCATCTTCCCCAGTACTGAGTCAGCAGGGAAGAAGACTTTCAGCGGTGAATTCGAGTGTTCAGTGGTTGCACTGAACAAGCGCATTGAGCCTGTCAGGGCGCTTGGCAGGAAGTGGCGAGTACAAGGCTAATTCGCCATAGCCAACCCTGAGGGTAATACTGCGAATTACCCCAGAGTGGCGAATTGCCCCTGAGGACATCAGGGAACCCTGAGCGGCATCATCCCTGGGTGGCGCTGATAGAGATTGATGCAGTATATCAATCTCCAGGAAGAATAACCCCGTCTGGGCCTATTTTTAGCATCAGCGGCTACCTGGCACTGTGGCGAGATATTTTGGTGTTGGCATACTTGTCGCCACAGGACCAGATACAGGGTATCTGGAGTGAGGGGTGCAGCGCTACAGGACCCTGAGGAGGATCAACGAATTTGAAACAGTTCTGTGCGTGGGAGTGTCAGGAAGAAGCTCTGGAGGAAATTGGCGAGATCATCTGCCATAGCCAGATCTTCATCATCACCTGCAAGATTCTTTGAAAGTTAGTCCGTTCCATGCACCTACCTATATTGCGATCCAGATAGTAGTAGTTTAGTGAAAAATAATGGTCTATCTGTCTGTCAGTAACTCGATATGAAAATCGCAGATTGCATGACAGCCATAGCCATCTCTCCCCTACCTCTCTCTGCTCATATCTCATCCTCTGTTGACTCTTTCTGGTCCAAATTGGTTTTGTGACTGCTATATTGTATTGCGATTGTCCTGGGATGCTCAAACAGTGAATTATGTACTGGAAAGGTAGTGATACTTTGAATTGTTGTTTTGTGTTGAGTCTATTTTTAGCCTGTGCTACCTAGGGTCAGTCACAACTTCAATTCTGTCCGTCAGAATTCAGTTTTGTCAGTCCCCGGTGAATTGCAAATTGAAAATAGTCAGTATTGTTAAATCACAGAGTTGGATTTTTAGTATTTCACTGGATACAGTGAAAACTGTAACTCGCCATACCCTAGGGTATGGCCGCCAGAGTCATCAGGGTCTAAAAGTGAGTCTGAGTCAGGTTATTGGGTATCTGTTTGCATCGCTTGTGGTATTTGATCTCTCTGTGTCTGTACTAACCATTTCCGATCATTCCCCCTGAGGACACTTGTTTTCTAGTGGGCACTAGAATTCTAGTGGGTCTCTGGAAAAGTAGTGGAGTGGGTTTACTAACTCCAGTGTGGCCCAGGGTCAGTAAAAGGAAATCGTGTGATTGATTTTGCTGGACTTACAGTCTGTCTGACACCTGACCCCAGAGACACCCTTCTAACCCAAACCGTTGATTGCCTGCATACCCACCTAATCCAGTGTTGAGTTGCTGCAGCGATTCCAGTGTGTCTGGAGGAATCTGAGTATCGCTGCAACTATGTCTGCTGTTATTTTATTTTTGGGTTTTTCTTTGAGCCGGGAAAATGTATGAAAAGGGGACTGAGCAGCAGCCACAGGTACAGGTTGTGGTGAAGGCAGAAGGTGAGCAGCCTTCGGCCTCCACTCCCCCTTCTCCACCTTTGACTGCTACGCAGCGGCTGAAGGAGCTGGAAGAACAGTTGCGTCAGCAACAGGCCAGACTCGCAGAAGTGGAGCGGCAGGAGGCAACTGAACTAAAGGCTGCAATAGATCACTCCAGAAGGAAGTATCTGTTGCAGCAGCTAGAGAGGTCACTCACTGATGATCGTTGTGCCCAGATCATCAAGCATATGGCTGAGATGATTTTGCAGGAGCACAAGATCACCAGCTCCCAATGCACCAACTGGGATGATCATTTTGTGCGGCTGGAGCGTCGGGTTGACGAGCTGTCAGCAAAGCAGACCAAGATCCTGAAGTCTATTCAGGGCTTGACTGCTCAGCTAGCAGCCGCCAAGCTGACTACTCCTCAGCTTCCTCTGCTGCAGCCCAAATCTTCTCCTCATTCTTCACCCCCTTCCTCTCCAAGTCCATCTCATGCTGGATCTGCACACTCTTTCCGGTCATCTACCCCTTCCCAAAAGGCCTCAGTAAAGGCCACCTATGCTGCTGTGACTGCAGCTGACAGAGGTCCCAAGATCCCTGCTCCCAACAAGTTCAGGGGCGATGACCCCAAGACTGATGTTGGGGACTGGGCTGCTGGGACCAGAGCCTACTTGAGGGGCTTTGTCTGTGCAGAACAGACCAAGGTGGCGATTATTCTGGGACTGCTAGAAGGGATTGCACTGAAGTGGGCCACTTCAACTTCTAGCAGCCTGCAGCAGTCCATGGAGGATTGGGCCTTTGGCTTGGGGGTAGAGAGACTTTTGCAGGCCCTGGAGGACCGGTTTGCAGACAAGGAGCGGGCCCGGAAGGCTGCTGACAGGATTGCTCGCCTGGGACAACAGCGGTACAGCGGCATCCTACAGGCCTTGTTTGCTGAGTTCGAGCAGCTCACCTCCACCCCTGGGTTGGTCATGGCACATGATGATCTGCTGACCAACTTCTGCAGGGCAGCGCCTGAGAAGTTTGTTGTTGCACTTTACAGCGTTGGGCACAAGGACTGGAGGTCCTTTGGCCGTGCAGCCCTGGAAATGGAGGCCAAGCTCCATGTCCAGGCCCCATCCTCTGACAGGAGGAAAGGTGCCTTCCCTAGAGGTAGCAGAGGGGAAAGGCAGCCTTCACTCACGCGGGGTCTGCCTCAGGATCAGATTCCGATTCCCAGCCTGATGCACCTTCAGGTGGACCGGATCTGTTGCTGAGACAGATGTTGCAGCAGTAGTGACTCAGGCTGTTTTGGGAGCTTTGCAGTCGCAAAGAAAGTTCTCCCCCACCACAGCCTCAGCCACTACCAAGAGGAAGGATAAGGGACGTCGGCCTTCCTCTTCCCAACGCCCTAACCTGCCTAGAGACGTCCACATGCCAGCTGACCCTCTCAATCCCTCCACACTCCCCTGGCATGACCTCAAGATCCAGGAGGGAGTCTGGAGAAGAAGGAAAGAGGGGTCTACCTGAGATGTGAGGGACATCAGTTCTTAAAGGACTGCCCTTACATGCCAGGCCCAGGTCAGTCAAAAAACTGAAACAGACCCTGGGGACTGCGGTTCCCCCCAGTGCTGCACTTTCATCTACCCCAGTAGGTGAATCTGCAGCTGTTTCAGTTGAGACTGTTTGCGGTGTTGATGAGTTGGGGACTGCACGGGCAGCATCCTTTTGCTATGAGGATCCTGACCCGGATCAGGACCCGGGGCAGGATGAGCTTCAGTCTATTGCTGCCTTCTTCTTTCATCTGAAAGAACAGAAGAGGAGCAAGTCTGAACTCATCATGCTTCGGCCACTGATCAACAACACCAGGATCACTGGGCTGTTGGACTATGGGGCCACCAGGAACTTCATATCTCCCAGTGCAGTTAAAAAGCTGCACCTGGGTATGAAAGTTCAGCAGCTGCAGCAGCCGCTGCAGGTACGGATTGGTGACTCTACAGTACTCAGCATCAGGGAGAAGGTCAAGGGCATTCCTGTGACCTTCGATACTGCTGGGGAAGTCAGACATAGTCTGAACTTTTATGTCTTCCCTGAGCTGCCCTTTGAGTTGGTATTCTCCATGCAGTGGTTGAGAGCAGTCAACCCTAGGATCGACTGGCAGATCCCTAGAGTTGAACTACCAGACAGCCAGGGTGTGTATCAGCAATGCATGATCAGCAATATCAGCAATGCATGATTGCTGCTGATCACCACCCTAAGACCTCCTGCTACTGCCTGAGAGCGAGGGAGTTTCATGCTCTCTCTCGCCAATACCACCATGAGCGTTTGTTCATTGCTCTGGTCAAGCAAACAGGTGCTCCTCATGTTTCCTGTCCTCCTTAGATACAACAGGTGGTGGATCAGTATGTTGATCTGATGCAGGAGCCCTTTGGGTTACCCAACCGGCCAACCAAGCATCACATCGAGCTGCTGCCTTGAGCGGTTCTTCCCAAGGGCCGCATTTACAGGATGTCCCCTGCTGAGCTTGAGGAGCTCAGAAAGCAGCTTGAGACCCTGACCAGCAAAGGTTGGATCAGACCCAACACATCTGAATTCGGTGCACCTCTTCTCTTTGTCCCCAAAGGGAATGGCGAGTTCAGAAAGTGCATTGACTACAGGGGTCTCAACAAGATCACTAGGAAGAGTACTGAGCCACTTCCTAGGATCGATGACCTCCTGGACATGGTGCAGGGCTGCACAGTGTTCAGCAAAGTCGACCTCAAATCTGGCTACCACCAGATTGAGATGGCAGAGGAGGATGTCTACAAGACAGCCTTCAAGACCAGGTATGGGACTTATAGAGTTCCTGGTCATGCCATTTGGACTTTGCAATGCCCCATGCACTTTCCAGACAGAGATGCACCGCATCTTCAGGCCTTACCTGGACAAGTTTATGGTTGTCTACCTGGATGATATCCTGGTATTCAGCAAAACTGCCAGGGAACATGCGGAGCACTTAGCTCTAGTTCTTCAGTCGTTACGTGACAGCCAGTACAAGATCAACAGAGAGAAGTCCTCTTTTGGAGTTCCCTCTGTCATCTATCTGGGTTATGTAATCTCTGGAGATGGTCTGGCTCCTGAAGCAGCCAAGATTGCTGCTATTCAGCAGTGGCCTCAGCCTCAGACAATGAGGGATGTCCGGTCCTTCATGGGTTTGGCCTCCTGCTGCAAAAAGTTTGTCAGGAACTTTTCTGCAGTGGCTGCACCCCTGACTAACCTCACAAAGAAGGACACTCCCTTTCTTTGGTCCCTCCATTGTCAGTTGGCCTTCACACGACTCAAGAAGGCCTTGACTCGTGCGCCTGTACTGAAGTTACCTGACCCCACTTTGCCATTTATCCTGACCACTGACGCCAGTCAATATGGCATTGGGGCAGTTCTTCAGCAGGATGATGGGAATGGTCTATGACCTGTAGAGTTCATGAGTAAGAAGATCAAGACTCAAAAGCTCCAGGACTCTACCTACGAGAAAGAGCTATATGCTCTTGTCTGTGCCCTGAAACATTGGAAGCACTTTCTCCTGGGCAGGCACTTCAAGATCTTTTCATATCACTCCACCCTGCAGTGGATGAAGTCCCAGGGAGAGTTGAATGACAAGTTGGCACGGTACATTCAGTTCATTGACATGTTTGACTTTGAACTGAAACATAAGAAGGGTTGCTACAATAAGGTAGCAGATGCCCTCTCTCGTAGGTCTGACTCTTTTGCGTTGATCTCCTCTACTCACTCCTTTGGAGAGCAGACCCGTCAGACCATTGCTCGTCTACTGCCTTAGGATGAGACTTTCGGGCCCATTGTCAGGAATCTGCAAGCAGATCCTAATTCTGAACCAGGCTATGCTCTGAGTTCAAACCTGCTCTATACTTGCAGCAGAGGTGAGGAGCGCTTGTGCATTCCCCAGGACCAGTGGCTCAGGACATTGCTGATATCAGAGTGTCATGATGCCCGTGGACATTTCGGGTTCCTAAAGTCTTATGCAGCCCTGTCGCGGCGCTTCTTCTGGAAGGAGATGCGGAGTGATATGCGGCGTTATGTGGACACCTGTGAGCTTTGCCAAAGGAACAAGGTTCAACGTAAACCTCCTTTGGGACTGCTCAAACCCTTACCCATACCTGATGGCCCTGCTGAATCTGTGTCGATAGACTTCACAGATCTAGGCAAGACCACCCCTCGTGGCATGCGTCAGGTTATGGTCTGCGTGGACAGGTTCTCCAAATACGCAGAGTTCATCCCCTTGCCAGAGGTAGCTAGAGTACCGGCTGTGAGAGCAGCCTTCTTTGAGAGGTGGGTCACACACCATGGACCGCCCACCTCTATAGTCAGTGATCGAGACCCCAGATTTTGCAGCGACGAGTGGCAGTCCTACTGTAAGGACTATCTGCACTCACGACTGGACATGACTTATGGTCATCATCCTGAAGCCAATGGTTTGGCTGAGGTGATGAACCAAGTCTTATTTCAATTGCTACGTCCTATCATCTCGCCAGATCAACAGGACTGGGATCTTCACTTGGCGAGGGCACAACTCATGTATAACATGTATGTCCACTCCTCGACAGGGTTCAGTCCCTACCGGTTGCATTGGGGACGTGAACCACGACAGCCTCTCGATGACATCATCGACAAGGCTAAGCCTGATTTGACACCAGGCACAGCAGAGTTGGCCAGACGTTATCATTTGGATGTGGAAAGAGCCCGCGCGAACTTGTTCAAGGCCCAGAAGGCTATGATTGAACAAGCCAAACGCCACAGGCGGCCTTCCCCCATCCGCACTGGTGATCATGTCTGGGTGGCCAGTTCTGAGCTGTCGAGGGAGGAGGATATCTCCCCCAAGCTGCTGCCACGCTACCTGGGTCCGTGGCAGGTCTTAGGTACAGTGGGCGCTGATCCCTTCGGTCCGTCGTATGTCATCGACGTCCCGCTGCATCTACCTACCTATCTGGTCTTTCATCCATCCAAGCTGCTGCCTTTCACTCCAGCTGATGCATTCCCAGACTTGCCCCCTCAGTTCCGTCCGCCAATCCCTGGTAAGGGATATGACATTGACCGGATTGAGGATGAGTGGGGCACAGGCACCTACTGACAGTATCTTGTCAGGTTTGCTTTTCAGCCCCCTTCTGAGAACCGGTGGTTCTACAGAAGAGACCTGATCAAGACAGCAAAGTCCATTGTCTTGCGGTATGAAGCGGCTCAGAAAGGTAACCTTCGCCGTTCACCTCGCCTGCACCCTTAGCTCAGAGGTCCTCGCTCCCGGGGAGGGTAAGCCTGCAATGACTTGCTGATTTCTGCTGTCGAGATTGACAGCGAGGCTGTACACTAACCGGTAGGTTAGATTTATAATTTTGTTTGGCTGAGGGCTAACCGAGAGACCTGCCTGTAAGGAAATTCATGAGGGACAGATCTGCACATCCGGGAAAATACAGACCCACTACTAACCGAATTCCTACAGCTACCCTAACTGCCTATAGCAGGCCCGGGCTACCCCTAGGACAGACAGGCCCTAAGCGGCCTATACTGTTAGACGGTCCTATAGCCTATA